GTTGTCTGTCTTTAATCATCTGAATCCTGCAAGCCACTATTTGTTTGAAAATGCATTAGAAGTTAGCAAAGAGGGTATTAATAATATCCTTTCATTTTATGAAACTGAAAAATCGTGCTTTCAAGAGGTGCTTTTGCAGGATGTATATAAAACTGAGCCCTGAACTTCTGGACATTATATGTGAAACATAAATTGTTATTCTTATGCTCAACTTGAGAATATAAAAAAACAAAAAAGAAGTTAAGTAGATAATCCTAATTATGTTAAACAAGATACTTTAGTATCACAATAGGCATTAACATCTTCTGCGATTAACTCTTTAAAATGATCATACCGCACTATTACTAAAATAAAAAAAAATACACTTGAACAATTATTTGAATTCAGAGATAGTGTGCCTGAAGCTGAATTCCTAAAAGTGTTGGCAGAACTTCAAACTACCTCTTTGGACTGGACGATGGAAAGAGTTAAACTGTATTGAAAAAATAACTGGCGCAGAAATCTTCAAAAATAAAACAATATTAGATTATTATTTTTGTACAAAAAAAAAAAAAACAAATTCGTTTAAGTATCTGACTTCTTTTTATTAAATTTAGAATCACATCGTATAATGTTTCAAACTTTTATATAGAACTTGTTGTTCATCTAGAATTCAAGATTTTAGAATATGTGGTTAAAATTTCAAAGATGCTTAAAAAATTTTTAAATTGTGTACAAGTACCCCTATTTAGTTATGATAGAGATTGGACTTATTAAAAAAATTGCTACTCAGTAAATTATTATATATTTTGGGTAATTATATAGCGGCAATTTCTACTCAAGTCTAATCCCTAATCATGAAAAGATTCTTTGTAAAATTCATTATCCCAAATAAAAAACTATTTTTATTATAATAGACTTTAATTCTTGCTTGGTCTCTTTAAACAAAGCATTACTTTTTTGATCTCTCTATATGAAAAGAGAAAAAAAGTACATTTAGTTCTGAATTAATCTTTGATCTACTAATTAAAAGGATACCTCATAGCAAATATTCAAAAGCCGCAACTAAAGTGTTCATGTGTTACTAATGAGTTTTGTAGCATGATTCCTTTGCTACTGTTAACAAAGTAAATCTAAATTTATTTTATAGTATTTGAAAGAAAATCTTATCATTTACAATGAAAAATTGCTATTTTTCGACTCATTCTTATTTTATAAAGAGTCAAGTGATACAAGTATTTCTGGTATAAAATGAAAGTTCAAACCTTGAAAAATAAAACTTGTCTAAGGTTTGGATAATATATACTATTGAATAATTGAAGCATTTAAAAAAAAGGTCTGTCAATTTACATTACACAAAAATAATCGCTAATAAGATCATCAGGAAATGACATGTCCTATAACTATTATTAAAAGCATAGTTCCGGGCATGCTCTTAGAAAGATCTAACTATATTAAGTAGTACTTGACACAAGCAAGCAATTGCTTGATTAAGTCAAATTATAGATTTGTATATATATAACTGATCTTATCTATGATTGTTTGACATCTAATGGTATTTACTATATTTGATTATCTAACTTTTGTTGGGTTGTATTAAGCATTAATACTAGGACCTGGTAAAACTCACATTATATTAATTCTTAAAATGAAACTAATATTTTTTGTAAACATGATTATTAAAAAATAGATGAATAATATTTTACGATTTTATGTAACACAAATTTACAAAATCAGTACTTTTCAAATCCTAATTTTTAATTAGTAAATTTGTATCATATATATTTAGTAATTGTAGATTATTTTGTCCAGATGACTCCTGATTTACCAATTAATAAAGATATAAGCAAGATTTTATCTTAAAACCAAAAAAAAAATAATAATATTTAAAATTTTTTAAAAATTATATATATCAAAATTTGAATTTTTATATTAAATTTTTATTATATTATATATATTTTATATAAATTAAACTCTAACTTTAAAAAAATAGAAATAATTAAATTACTTTTATATATAGTAGTTAAAAATAGTTAAAAACAAAAAGCAAATAATAAAAAAAACAAATAAAAAAATTTTAAAAAAACAAATAAATAAAATATAAAAGAACAAAGATAAAAAAATAAATAAAACAATAAATTATACTAATAAAACTAATAGATATAGTAACATAATACTAATACTAAAATACAGTAATTAATATACTGTATATTTACAATATGATAATAATATATTATTATTATATACTGTATAGTATATGCTATTGATAGTAACAATATAAATAATATTTATAAAGCAATAAATATATATATACATATATATAATTATTATATAATTGTATATATATTATGTAAAAATAATAACCAAGCAAATATATTTAATTATTGTTTTAAATTTATACGTACGTAATATACTTTTAAATAACGTTTATTAAAATATATATATATATATATATATATATATATAACTTTTTCGGTGATAAATTCCTTTTCGAGAAATAAATTTCTTTTTTTGACAATCAAACTTTCCGGTAGTTAAATTTGGAAATATGATCCTTCTTTTGTATCTGATTTACTTTTTGGCGCGCCAATGGAGTACACGCCCATTGAGGATTAATCACAAGACAAAAAAAAGAACATGTAAAAATATATAGTATAGGTACGTATGTACGTACGTACGAAGTTTTTTTTTTATAGAAGCTGCAATAAAGATTAAAATAAGGTAAAAAAAATTATTAATATTTAGGATAGAATGGATTCTTTGGTTTATCAAAGTCTCACGAAATTATTAATTCATTCATAATAATTTTGTACGTGTAAATACGATAAATTAACCTTTATTTTTTAATTTTTGAGAAATTATTTTAGTACTACATACCAAGTACGTTGAAAGTTTCGATAATGATAATGCTTTATCAATAATCTCAAAAAAAAATTTTACACCACATTCTATCGGATTAACATAATAGGTATGCATATTTTTATCTATATAAACATAATCAGTAATTTATACAAATTCTTCTAATCAAAGAATTTTAAAAGATTATGCAATGCATCGTGATTTACACTACTTTAGTCACACGTAAAAATGTGCAGTACGTACTGTAGAACAAAAAAAAATGTTATTTTTCGTACGTACATACGTGCGATGTATGTGCATACTTTATAAATTTGTACGTATGTACGTAAGTACGTACTCATACTGCATTTTACTGAATATGTTCGGATCATGAGAAACTTAATCATTTCTTCAAAGTTTCTCTCGTATTTACGTTCATCGATCAAAAATCTGAATTATTTAACGTTAGTAACAATTTTTAAAAGCAAAAATTTGATTGAAAAATAAAATTAATAATTGAAATTTACGATATAGAAAAAATAAATTTGGAGTGTAAAAAAGGTACGTAGTACCAATTTGATATCGTAAGATAGCAGATAGAATAATCAGATCATTTTTTACCTCCAATCAAAAAGAAATAAAAAACTGATTTCCGAAATGATCATCAAGTGCAATAAATAAAGCTCTGATCATGCTGTAGATCCTTTTTTCTTTATCGTATTCCGATAGGGTGAAATAATAGTTATATAATAATTATTTATTTATTATTTATAGTTTTCAAAAGTTATCAGTGTTATCAGTTGAGTTATCATTTATCACTTTTTTACTTACTATATATAGATATAGATAAGCTTATCAAAATTATATATTAAAAATAATTTGTAATTTTAAAAAAGAATACTTTAAATTTTTTTGGTATTTTTTTTTTTTTTTTTTTTTTTTTTTTTTTTTTTTTGCTTTTTTTTTTTGGAACCTTTTTTTTTTTTTTTTTTAAAAAAAAAAAAAAAAAAAAAAAAAAAATCAAAAAATAAATTTTTTAGTTAAAATTTTTTTGAATTTAAATTTGATTTTTTCCAATAAATAAATAAATTGATAATAAATAAATAAATAAGATTAACACTTCCAAAAAAAAAACCTAAACCAAAAAAAAACCTGAACAAAAATAATAAATAAATTTTTTTTTTAAAAAAAAAGAATTATTGTAATACTAATAAATATAATAATAATAATAATAATAATAATATATATGTGCAATAAAAAAAGAAAAGAAAAAAAAAATAAAAAAAAGTAAATAAATAAATAAATAAATAGAAAAATAAATGAAAGACAAATATTATTATTCAAAACTTCTCTGAAATCAAAGAATAAATAATTGTAACAGTAGGGTTTATCATCTAAAAAATACATTCTAATATATATATATATTTTTAGATGATGTTTTGGGTGAATAAGTTTTTAATCTCGTAAACTATTTAATATTCTTATTTTGCAAGCATGGTTTTAAAGTTTTTAAAGTTAATGGGGACGATATTTTGGGTGAATGATAAGTTTTTAATTTTGTAGGTAATTTAAAAACATTATTCTTCTTAAGTTTGATAGAAAGTAGGGATGTTCGAGTGTTCATTTCAGCTTAAAAAAAAGACTAATGCTATATATATAATTTGTCGTGCCATTTGTCTTTATGCTTATAATGTTTAAAATTTCGGTGAGTTTTTTTTTTTTTTTAGCATGTTTAAAAACGTATTTTCCAAAATTGGTATTTGGAAGATCCCTTTCGACTATATCCTGTCTTATTTCTTGTTATCTCATGTTCAGTGCTGTTTTTTCTTTCCGCATTTTTAAAAATTTCCCGTCCGCGTATATCAAATAATCGTGATTTTTTTAAAAAAAAAAAAGAAAAGAATCAAGAAAAAAGAATTTACAATGATTCCTTATTTAGTAAAAAAAAATTTTAATTCCAAAAATGCGATAATGCCCTCCAAATGTATGTATAAAAAGAAAGGTGTGCATATATGTATAACAAAAATGCCCGATGAATGCATTGAAATCCCAAATAAATGCCCTTTAAAGAATTCCCATACTATATTTTATCTTTAAATGAATCCCTTAAAAAACAAATAAAGCGAAAAAAAACAATAGTACGGAAAAAGTAACATGGATTATTAAAAACAAACTCGTTAACCTTAACATAGTAATGAATTTACACTCATCCTAGTAACAGAAGTAGAATCTGATTCAGTTCCAAGAGGGTTTACACGAGACTCAGAATCTCTTGAAATAATACTTTTATGTTCATCATTTGAGAATTGAGGAGTTGACTGTGAAACATCACTATTCGCAGGTATGTGATGATATTGTAATGAACGATCAAGTTGATTATGCTCAAATGAAGAGTCTATAATAGGTTTGGTATCCATTTCATGATAAAATGAAGTATTATTCGAAGATCTACTCGATAAAGATCGTCTATCAGATAAGACTGACGAAGAGGGTTGAGATGGTGAATCAGATCTAGGAATATTTTGAGTGACCGAAGTAAATGAAGTTGAATAATGAGAAGCTCTTTGATGAGAATGAAAATCTTGAGGATTTGGTGGTGGTGGAGGAGCTTCAATATATATAGATGATGGATTTAATTCTGATAAACCTTGTCTTGGTGATAATACAGGACTTAAAAGACCAAATTTTCCAGTACCTATACTTGAGGAAACATTATCATTCGATGGGTGATTCATCGTAAGTAGAGCAGGATCAATAGTGGTGATAGTAGATGGAGTGTTCGAAGTTGAAAAACTATTGACAGCGCCATTAATATTGTTAATGTTGCTAATATTGCTAATTCTAGATTGAGTATAAATACTACAATCATTTTGTACGCAAGCACCGGTTTTAACTCTAGTGAAAAAAGCCACAACATATAATTTGGACCAAGTATCTTTTCGCGTCAAATCAGCACCAAGGCCACCACCGAGGTAAGTTTTAACATTATATAAATCATATTGACCATTCCTTTGTTTTAAATGAATCATATCAGCAGCTTCAATAAGAGTACCATAGGCAGGAATTTGTAATTGTTCAGGAGTTGCATGACAAAAACCAGAATCATCAGAAGTAACAGGATGATCAAAGGAAGGAGGTTGATAAGTGTATTGATGAGTGGATTGAAGAGTATGATAATATCTATGAGCATTCTCCAGTAAAGAATCAATGAGTTTCTGTAATCTTTCACAATCAGGAGGAGGAACGTATTCATATAAAGATTTATGAACAAGTTCATAAGGATAATAACCCATATTAACTAAACATTCATCAGAAACTTTAGCACAATGAGCACCAGCAGTAGTCAAGAACATAGTAATAGTAGGAGAAATTTCTGATAAAGGAATTTGAGATCTTGTAGAAGATTGATTAATGAAAGGAGGATGATTAAAAGGTATATGATGATGCCTTGAAGGAGGAGAACGATAATAAGGAGGGGAAGGAGCAAAAGAAGTAAAAGAATGCTGATGATTTTGAGAAGAAGAAGGATCAAATTGACGCGGGTTTCGAGGAGAAGGATTTGTAGTAGTAGGAGGAAGAAATTGTGTACTCGAAACCCAAGTTTTCGCGTCACCAGTAGCATGAGTATTGTATGGATGAGGTTTTTTATCCTTCAATTTTGGACGTCCACGTTTCTTGTGTTTAATGTCGATACAAGTATCAACTTTATTAAGAGCAACACATCGTTTACAAGGTCTTGACACTAATTATATAAAGAAAGTAAAGTTAAAATAAAATTAATTAAAATAAAATAAAATAATTTCAAAATTTTAATTTTAAAAAATTAAGAGATAAAGTCGAAGTAATTTCTCCAAAAAGATTATGATTCGGAGATAAACAACAGATCTCAAACTTTAAAATTCTCCGATAAAGAAAATATCCCGAACAAAATGTCGAATTTTTTAATGATAATATTATTATAAAGGTTTAAAGAATTATAAAGAATGATTAACATTCGGATAATCAGAATTGAGGAAAGGATCAAAAGTAGAATCAAAGATCAAGATAGGAGAGATCATTAAACTCCAACTTGATTTCTTTAGATCAAAGTAAAAAAAAATAAATTTTTAAAATTAATTATAATAAAATTAAAAATTGAAAAACTAACCGTCACAAGCAAGGTGCGCTCTTTTGCAATTTACACACGCACTTGGAACATGAGTTTTGTTAGTTCGTTTCATAATGGCACTTCCGTTATCATCGGTACCTAAGCTTGTATTTGCCAATCTCATAGTACTACTAGAACCTGATTGTTTTGTGGAATCAGAATCAGCAACAGTTCGAATTCTTGAAGAAGGAGAAGAATAAGGAGTAGAACATGAAGATTGAGAAGGCATGTGTCCAAAAAAATTTTGAGGCTGTTCAACGTTTGCTAAAGACGCTGAGTGTTGTTGTTCACTTAATGAATAAGAGGAATGTGATAAAGACGGAAGTTGTCGCTCAACTTGTAACGGTGTGCTCATGCTTATTCTTACACTTTATATAAATGTGTAAGTAAAATAATTATTTTTATATAATTATTTATAATTGAATTATTTATTTATACTTTTTTTTATTTTTATTTTTTATTTTTTTTTTAAGGGAAAAAAAGGACCGGGCGATATTTTTATATGACTTGAAAATTTAAGAAAGAATAAACAACTACCGAACTAATATAAAAGTTTTATAGAAAGATTTAATAAACGGAGAAAAAAAAACAGGGTAAAGGATAAAGAAATGCGATAAACGTGATGATATACTGTTTATCGAAAAAAAAAAAAAAATCACGCCAAATAAAAAAAAAAAAAAATCATTCCATTAAATTATTATAACACATATATAACACAAAATATGTTTTTTTTTAAAGTACGGGTTTTTTTTTATGTTATACAGTACCATCAAAAAATAAATATATATATTACAGTATTTAGATGTAGACACGCAAACGTTTACGGAAAGAAAAAGGTAAGGTGAGTGTTGTTCAATACAATTAAAAATTTTAAATGTTACACCGATTAATTCAAAAATAGTATAAAAGCCACTAAAGCATTAACTAGCATATACGGTATTCATTTATAATATTTTAAAAATGAAACAAAAAAAAAATAGGTAATAAATTCGGATGGTTTTGATTGTGATAAAGCTAGTTCATTTGTAACCAAGATGATCAGATAGTGATACCTAAAGTATCGTCATCATGCAAAATGAGTAGATTGAATTAGAAATTAGCACCATGAGGCTTATCACAACAACGGAGCATTTTGCGGCAAAAAGGAATATTTTTTTCAAATAAACAATACATATATACATATATTGTAAGGAAACAACCGGAGACGGCTACAGATCACGGTGGTCGAGTCTTTTGCATTCGGAATTCATTTAATATTATTATATGAATAATATGGAGAATAAGACAAAAAAAATAAAAAAAAATAAAAAAAAAAATAAAAAAAAAATAAATAAAAAATAAATAAAATAAGACAGAAATATTCCAGGATATGCCAGAATATGACAGGTAATAAATCAAAAATAAAGATAAAAACTTTACATTTTTCCGAAGAATATGTACATACGGGAATTTCAGGACTTGACTTTTAGTTACTGTAGGTAGACCCACGTGCATGAAAGAGAAGGGATAATCGAAAATTATAATATCGGAAAAATTAAAATAAAAATTCTTTTAAAGATGTGAATCGGAGAAATATCATAGAGAATCAAATTATAGATCCGGATTTAAACATAACAGCAAACCTTAAAAAGGAATTTATAATCGTTTTACATTGGTAAGTCTGGGCGATTCCAAAAAGAATCGACGAGTTTGAATTCATGTCAAATTTCATGATAGAAGACAATACGGAACGAAAAGTTGACCATTTAGGTAAAATTGATCAAATCATTCATATTATGTCGAATGGATTAAAGTATATCCTTGCCAAGAAAATTTTGATTACAGTAAACGGTAAATGATGCGCATTAAACTAATCAATAAACTAAGCATTTAAAATACTGTAAAAAGGGTAAAATCTGTATTTATATTGATGTATACTGTATACAGTATTGAATTGCATATTGATATGTATATATATCTGTATATTGATAGTGTATATTGATATTGTCTATTGATAGTGTATATTGATATACAGTATAGTATATATATATATATATTATTAAACTCTAATTAAATTTGTGATAATAAATTATTGATATATATATAGTGAAAATTATATGCTGAAATTATATATTGAAATAGTGAAAATTATATGCTGAAATTATATATTAAAATAGTGAAAATTAATGAAAATTGATAATTAATAATAAAAAAAAAATTAAAAATAGAGTGAAAAATAGATCAACATAACCCAGGGATCTAGAACAAACACAATAAAAAAAGAATAATAATAAATTCAATTAAAAATTCAATTAAATGTAAATCAATTTAAATATTTAGATAAATAACGTAATGAAAATTTCTTCTTATGCAATTATGGCTTGCATACCGGAAAAGAAAATAATGTGCCGAATTTTTCGTACGACAAATCGATTAAAGAGTTGTTTGATCAAATGACTTTGTGATAATCACTCATAAGAATTTATATATTTAATGCATAATAGCATGACACTCTTTTGAATGTAATGAATGTATGACAATAAAGAATTTTTTAATTTCCGCACATTTAATCATAAGTGTGAAAAAAGCAGCGTGTGTGTAGGAATCTCACAACAGATAAATGTAACATATAAATACATTATTTGCTTTATCAATTAAAGAATTATTAATTTGATAACATTAGATAAGATTAATTATTATTATTTATAATGCTTGAATAATGACATTACGTTTTTTTTTTTTTTTTTTCCTCCGACATTCCTTCTTTGAGTTTGTGAAGGTTAACGGTGGTACCATAAGGAGGTTTTTTCGGTTGTACATGGGGGAATACAATCGAACCTTATCAATCAAGTCATTTACGAGAATTCACATTAAAATTCCGATGCAGGCACTGACTGGCGTTTATAACTGATTATACCAGTCGGAATGTTCTCAATAGTTTTCAATTTCCGTAATATTTTTTATTTTTCTCATTCATTCATTACCTACTCTATTTCGTTAGTCTATTTAATAATATTCCTTTTTTAATGAATTATACCTTTAAGTTTTTTTAGTGTTTTACACTGTTAGCGTTATACCGTTTATTAGCGTTATCGTTATACGTACGTACGTTAACTAAAACGTTGTCTTACTATATATTGTACTATGTTATCAGTGTAAAGTTATGCCGTTGTCAAAATACTATCAGTTATATATATTAAGTATATACGTACCTGGTACATACCAATACGTACAGTACATACGTACGTACGTATATTTATTGAAAGTGTTATTTAAAGTTACACTATTTAAAGTTATACTACTATTAAGGTATACAGAGTACCTTACTGTTTAGTTTGTTTACTGTGTATAAATTTTTTTTGTCAGCCTACAATCGGAATTCTTTATGAGTAAAAAAATTTTTTTTTCGGAATAATAGTGAAAAAAAAAATTGAATACATTCGGCATATATTCAGTATATATTCACATGGTAAATCTGTTTCAGGTTTTTGAACTTGTTAAAAAAATAACACCAACCGGCGAATTTAGTGATACAGAGGCTAAAATCTCTGTCGATTCACGGATTTTATCAACTTGTGAACTGTTTTGCCAAAGGTCTAGAATATGACTGTTTTGATATGATATCATGGATTTGAAGGGGCCTTTTTTTTTTTAACAATCGATTTCTAGCAAATTAGGTTAGTCTCTTCGTGATACCAGGTGTATGTTGCGTCACAATATCTATTCAGAGAAAAATAAAATCCTTTTCGTTGGGGAAAAAATTATGTTATGATATCAGTTCATTCAATTCTTACTCCGTGTAACTTATCTGCGGCCGTACATACGTTAACTTTTATGCATTGTCATTATTCTTTGGCTTTCTTTATGCATTTTTTATGTAATATTTTATCATTTTTAAACCGTTAATCTTTACTGTAGTTAAGTTCTTTACCATGGTTTAATTTCATTTTTGTAACTATCAATATCATGCAAAGAACATTCCAATAATGGATCCATCTGAATGCGGAGTAGAAAGCCCCGTGGATATTTACCCAATTGTTTTCTTTTTTAGTTGGTACGTGTTTACATCCAAATAAATCAATCTTAATAACGGTTTAGATGATTCTAGCGCCATTTCGTCGGCGTATTCTGTAATCCTTTTTGAATTCCCTGTACTCAATATGCCGTCATCCTTTTCAACAAAAAACTTCTACATGTGACACCTTGTTGACAATACCTCTATGCATGTGCGCGGGTTGTGTTGTGTAGCATCTATCTTTGAGGATCAGAAAATCTTTAATTACCATTATCTGTTAGAAACTGCGGATAAGAGTGAAAAAAATAAGTGTTACTTTTATCTTAATTTGTTGTATGTTTGTTAAGACTACTTGCAAAGGCTAAAATTGGCGGAAATCTCTTCTTTTTTTTTTACCTCAAAAAAATCTATCTAAATGACACTAAATGACATGTTTTTACTTTTTATAATCAATTCTCTTATTATTTATTTAATGTTATCACCTATTTTATAAATCGGTTTAATTTAAATATGGTTAATGTCGGCGAATTAGATGACGCTATCTCGAGCATATTATATCCATTTTTTAATACTATATTTATTACCTTTATTAGCTTGTCCGATTTTACGGATTGTACCAATTTTAATTGGTTTTTTTTTTTTTTTATTTCAAAGTAGATATGGAAAAAAATTCTTGTTCTGATTATTTCTAATGTTATAATACGTAAAAATAATGACAATGCACTATCGGAAATTTTTTTTTAAAAAAAATATATATATATATTTTTAAAAAATTTCTTACCTGATTACATTTAAGATAATTATTTACTATATTTGTTATTAAAGAACTGCAAAATGACGTTATACGATTAAAAATTACGCTATTTTATTTGAAACTTTATAATTATATATGGAAACCAAAAATTCTCGGTTTTTATAATCCGGCCGAGTCTAAAAAAATCAAGATTCTCGAATCAGCCAATAGAAATATAGATCGCCTTAGGATGCTCCCTAGATGCAGTTTTGGCCGATAGGACCTTTATGACCTGTCATAGGCTAATTGGTCATAACTAACCTTAAATTAAGGATCTGCAAATGCCCATGCTGGACATATTGTCATCATGCCTGGCACCAGTGCTACGAAAGCTGCCTATGCCCTATGCCCATGGGCGCGAATGTTTTCAGGTATTTTGTGTAGGCGCACATATAAAGTTCCAGGAACCTTTGGGCCAGGTCCTAGTACCTACCTAGTAATTTTGACCAGATCTTTATACTTATAACACAAGTTACCCAACATGTGCCCTGGAACTTTGTGTTCACGCCTACAAAGTGCCAAACAACTTTATGGTTTGCATCCTGCGCCCATGCCTGTGCTCTTTGTTAGGCACGGGGGTTGCAGATCCCTACTTTTAATTTATACGTAGTAAAAAAATATGTATAACCAAAAGTCATATGATTATTTGACCAAGATCATATCGATATAACTTGGGTCATCGGCCAACGGTTTTCTAGAAGGTTCAGGTTTCTGATTTTGAATTAAAAGTAACATATTTATTTCGAAATCAGTGATCTATAAATCATATTTATATAATAATGAATACTTTTACGATCGTAAATTTTCTTTTTTTTTTAAAAAAAAAACGACTGCTTATTTTATCTCTAAATAACTTCTTTCATTTTCCGATTTCGAAATTTCAAAGCAAAAATAGAATCAAAACAAGTTAACTCTGAAACTCCCTAATATCATAATGTCATATGATCTGTAATATGTCATATCGATCATTTACTTTATATCAATATGAGATCGTAAAATGACAAATCATAAAGTCATATGATCTGTAATATGTCATATCGATCATTTACTTTATATCAATATGAGATCGTAAATATGACAAATCATGCGAGTCATGTATGATCTATCATGTAATTATATAACCAAGGTTTATACTAAAAAAAAAAATAGTGCTCGGCACAATCAAACAAAAATTTGACAGTCAAATACTTGTGATAAAGTTGGATATCAAACAATCGTAAATTAATCAATACTACAGTACTACGTATATATATATATACATATATATACGGTTAATCTGCAATTGTTTGATGTCCGACTTAATCACATTTGACTGTCAAATTTTTAATTTTATAAATTATTATAATATTTTTGGAAAAAATCAATACTGTAGTACAAATATTGTTAATAATCGCAATAATAATTGCTATAATAGATCACTTAATTAGTATTTGAGTAGCTTTTATCAATTTTAAATAGTTATTAATATATTTTCAAAAATTTTGCAAATAAAGAAATATAATATTATCAAAACCTAAATAATACTGAGATTACATTGAAATTTTCAATCTTTTTATTTACTTTTCTCGAATTTTATCTTTATAATCTTTGTTAAAATTATTTAGAGTTTTGTATTAAGGCCATACAAACTTAATAAATTGGTTCTCATAACCCGGCCGGGTCAAATTTTGCAAAACTTTGAAAAAAAATTT